TTTTTTTTTTGCTCATCTGCTTTTGTTAGTGTTTGTGTATTTAATGTGCAGCCCAGGACAATTTTTCTTTTTCCAATGTGGCCCAGAGAAGCCAAAAGGTTGGACACCCCTGACCTATAATAAGCAGAAAAATGACTGACAATCATACAGTAGCTGTGCTTTGTCACTGGTGCTGGCTTCCAGTACATTTCTGAGCCTAAATCAAGGGGTCGGCGTTGATTTTCAAAGCCCAGATGGCTCAAGAGCAGGGCGAGGAAGGGACTGTATTCTCCCTTGGGTGGTTGCCAGTACTGGCTTAGGCCATTTTGAGAAGGTCTCCTCTGCATGCCTCTTCCAAAGGAAGCACTTGCAAGGGGCGTAGGTGAGGGGAGCCTTTTCAGGACTTTTGGACTGAACTCTCCAAAGAGGGTCACCTGCTGCCAACGATGCTACCTTTTCCTCTGAAAGCAAAAGCCTTCCTTTTCTCTCTGCCATTTCAGAAATGGAGTTCTGGCTTTTGTGGCTAGTTTATTGATCCCTGTGTCTTTCATTTTTCTGTATCAGATTTCATTATTCTGTATCATATTATTAAATCTTATTTTTTATTTAAAATATTTGTATTGTCATTTATATTTTAACTGTTTGCACAGCATTTTAGTTCTTGAACTGTTTGTAATCCACCCAGAGCTGATTGGGTTAATGGGAGAATTCACAATAGAATAAAGTGGGAACAACCATTACAATTCTTCAACTACATCACTTAATCAAGTTAATGACACAATATAACCGCCAAATTTGGACGCTTATGCTCATGGTACGCAGAGTAGGAGGGAAAGCCCAGGCTCATCTTTGTCTTTGCCTTGCTGTCCTTGCACCAGGTATGTTCACCATTGCCCATCTAGCGAAAGCATCCAAGGAGAGAGAAAGGGACTAAGGAGGCCCAAGTTAGCCTATATTCTGGCCTCTCTCATCTCTTCCTAGATTGAATCTGGGACCTTGTGCATGCAAAGCAAAGGCTGTGCCCTGGGCCACATGTACTTTATACGTTAATCAGGCTGGCACAGTAGGCACCAAACACAGAAAGCTCATGTTTTCAAAGCTTAACCTGAACCATAGCAGACCTGGGTTTATTCCTGATCCTGTTTTAAAAGTTTAAAACATTTAAACTTTAAACGCTTTAAGTTTTCCTCCCTGCTAGTGTCCCTGACATATTCAGGGTAATATGAATACTGTACTGTATTTTAAATCTTTGTACAGCTGCTAGGTTTTACTCTAGCTCTCACTTTTATACTGTAGTCTTAACTATTTAAATTTTATACTGTATTTTATAAATTTTATAACGTATTTTATGTTTTAAATAATTGTGAACCTCCCAGAGAGCTTGGCCATTGGGAATTAATAACTATTGGAAATGAATAGCTATTGGCTCCTGGGCAGTGTTAAAATGGAAAGAATGAATGAATGGCTCTCTCTAGTGTGCCAGTAAAGCCGGCACATGCATATTTGGGGAAGGGGAAGGGTGGGCAGGCTAGGTGGTCCATGTAGCGGCCACTGCCCACCTTAACCTCAGAATTGCACCGTGGCACAATGAACTTCTGTGGCTCGGCACATGAAGAGCCTAACACAGGCATTTTGCCTGGTATAACAGACAGGGCAATACATACCAAACTGGACCATCCACTTTGACTGATTTCTGACTGTTTGGAACAGGTGATGATAATAAACTCTTGTGATAGAAGCATCTGAATATAGAAGAATCTTTTTGTTCTGCAGGGAGTTGCTTCATGTCCCTTGATGCACATGTGTAATTTTAGCCATTTTGCTTTGTCAGAATGACTGCAGAATGTTTCTGAGGAAAGTACTCTCAGATAAAATTTAATATAGAAAATCAACTAACCCCACACAATATTTTGTACACTTGCTACCCCACCTCTTTTTGCTTTGCTTAGCTGACTTAGGACAATTTTTATTGAAAAGTCTTACAAAAATCAGTGCTTTTGTTTTAAGCAAAAAGAGGGTGCTGAGTTTGAAAACTAGGCATCTGGTTTATTACAATAGAGTTCGAATGAAAGAGGCAGAAATTGAACCTTTTCCCTATTTGCCCAGCACAAGATTTCATTTGTTTGCTCTCATCTGCTGTAACTATGCAGAGCAGCATTAGCTGAAGCACATTCTTCTTATTTGAGGAATGATAACTGCTTTACATTTCCCCTGATCACTAGAAGAAGAAAAGATCCAGCTCATGTGGAAAGCAACAGCCCTGCTCTGTGCTGATGCCATTCATGTTCTCCTCCACTTTTTTAAAAAAACTGAAGCAATGAATGATACAGAAAGCAAATGCCATGTCAAGGCCCTGGGGTTCTCTTCGCGGTCACAGGACGGGTAGTTGGTTCCAGTTTTTAAAAAGTATCTTCAAGTGGAATGAGATACTAAGAAAGTGTTGGGGTCCCTCCCCACTTTTCATGCTGTATTCTTTCAAAACCCATACAAACATATTGGTGGGATGGCGCTGCAGCCCACCACATAAGTCCCGCTGAGTATTTCTTTGTTAAATTTACATCCCACCTTTTCACTAAAAGCAGCATTCAAGACCATTGTCTGTAATAAAATACAGAATTATAATTAAAATGTTAACAGATCAAATTATAATTAAAATACTGACCAATTGGTTAAAATCTGTGTTATAGTGGAGTCAATGCTCACAGGGTTGAAGCACTAAGCACTTTTGATCAGCAAGAGTGATGACATCAGCAACGAACCTTTTTTGAGCATCCTGGGCTGATTTAGCTGCAATCCCCACCTGACTTGGGATAAAAATAGATTTTCCCAGCAACAGTGATGGTTGCTAGCAATCTGTTTAATGAAACGTGTTTTGAGATCCCCTGAATTTGAATGGGCAACAAAGAAAGTTCATTAGTTTTACAAAAGACCCGAAAACTGCAGGAACTGGCTTATTGAGGTGGTTCAGCACAGCTACCTGCATTCTGGGAGTCTTTGGGGATGTAGCTATTGGGACTGTTGTACAAAGCAGCTGTATTTTGAATTCAGCACCATACCACCACTAACAACACTTCAGTGGGCTCATTCTTGAGAATATTTCCTTTAAAGGGCTATCCTAATGTGTAAAAAAGCACATTAAAATGGGTGAATGAGAGCTACCTAAGAAGGAATGCTGGTTGGGTAATGTGGAAAGGGAAAGAGTGCTAATGTATATCCAGCTGACCTTGTCTTAAGGCAGAAGGGCTAAAATAGTTCTAAATTCTGTTTTCAATTGATATTCAGCATCCATATGGATTTTCCTTTGAAAGATGACTGTTTGAAGATAATATGAAAAGGTTAAACCATTTTCCTCTAATATCTGAGTAAAATGGGCATCTCCCTAAATAAGTGCCAGCATTTTCATGAGCCATCAACAGGTTCTGTCTTACTTGCAGTATATTTGCTGTCATAATGACAATTGTGGATTTACTCGGAGAATATTGCTAGAGCAAAAGCCTCCCACTGGATATGAATCAAATGTTTTCCAGAATGATATCTATACATAGTTTATTAAAGTGAAAGTATTAGCATCTACATTTTTAATGTCAGCAGATATATCATGACATCATAACCTCTTAAGTGACATGCCACTTTGATAGGATTTTAATAGTCAAGATTACCTAACCATTAATTCACCAACCTCTTTTGGGTCTGTGGGTCTATTTGAAATTTTGTGAGAGCGCCATGGCACCTCCTAGGTTGTTCCTCTCTTCCTGTAGTCCTCATGATAACACCATAACCAGCTCCATCCAGAGAAGGCTCTCACCACACACATCTTGCTTTTCAATAGGGTCTGGGCAGAAAATGGAACCACTAGAATCCTATATTTTCATGACTCCTACACACTTCTGCAAACCAAAGTGAACTTCTGTGTCTGCAGACAGCACAGGAAAAATCTGTCATGCAGTAGCCATGACACGAAAACACAGACCCAAAGCATCATAAGGAATGCCAAGAAAAGCACGGTCCAATTCATGGCGTGCATCTGTGTGTTCAGGCAACCCATGATTTCATGGTGTATTTGGGGGAATCC